CTGAGTTATCAGCGAGATAGCAACGTGATGGTATGACAACAGAACGAAACAAAAGAATAATCTCCCTTCGCATGGAATCGAACCATGCACCTCCTGCTTACCGGGCAGACGTATTAACCACCTTACTAGAAAGGAGTGTGTCTTATTCTGTTTGTTTCGTCTTATGAACTGAAGGGGAACACTTCAGTTCATAACACCATAAAACTTCGAAACGTCCGAAATGATTTTTCCAGCTGAAACATTGACATGCGAAGACATTTTTTCATTTTGGCAGGAAAAAAGGACTTACTAAATTATATGCTAGTTTTCAACTAATATATAAGTAATTATCGATCTTTTAGCATGAAATCGTAGCCCTAACTGATGGTTCTTCATTGCTCCAAAAATGAGCTCATTTGCTTGAGTAATAGACAATTCAGACTCATGACAAGTTCGCGATGTTCACTGATGCGCCATTCTGTTTGGTGAATTGTTTGCTTCTAAAATTTTCAGAAAACAATGTTCATCCATGGGGAAACATCTTCTGAAAATTTCAGATGGATCCATCAAACTTCTGCTGAATTATGGAGTTCTCAACGCCATTCGAGGGATATCATAGTATTCGGAACTCGGGTATCGAGATTTTCAAACATCGATATATCCCAGAACAGCGAGGAATTTGAGTGAATTGGGTGTAACGAGATGGATACCCGAAAAGTCGGTGTTGATGGGAGCGTGGACCTCAGTTTGTGTGTGGGTGTTGGTGTGAGTGGGGTTCCAGAAGCGTACAAGACTAACATGCATGTCCTAAGACCCACAGGAGACGCTGGCTGTGTGTGTACTGCCTAGTGCTCGGTGTGACCGCCGTGACTACCAGTGAGTCACGATCACGGTCACGGTCGTGACCGTGCGTGACTTTTTTCAAAGCTCGTGACCGTGACTGTGACTGAAGCTTGGTCACGATCAGTCACGGGAACTTTTTCGAAATTTTGGCAACTCCTGAGAGGGAGTACGGGTATCTCCGCCAAGCTACCCTTGCCCCCACCCCCTCCCCCTTTGATCATCACTTTTAATAGTAAACGGAAACTTTGCAATAGCTCTTTCTGGAAAAGTTTTTTTATGTTGAGGAACCAGAAAGGGCCGTGACTCACGGTCACTGGCTGGGCTCACCGTGACCGTGACCAAAAAAGTTGATCACGCCGGGCCAGGGTTGTCGATTGTTTTGAGGAATGGGGGGGGGGGGGGGGGGGGGGGGAGATTGTAGGGAGGGGACATTTTTTTTAGAGTGGTGTTACTCTGACGGTGCATTGAAACAGAACAAA